GAGCAATTCTAAAGCAGGCTGATGGTGTTCGTTTTTCAAAGAGATACTACAGGGTGCGCCAAAACTACGGTTACACCATTTCGGCAGATCATTGCAAAAACTCTGAGTGTTATATAGAGAATTGAAACGCTTCTATTTTTAGTCTTTCCAGCGCATAAACAGTGAGATTGTCCTTTCTTCTTAGTAAAACAAGCATCGATAACCCAGGTTCTGGCTTTCGCACTACCCGCGTTAATACGTACGATATAAAAGCGAACCAATATCTCGCGGCAGCCGCAACCACATCCCGCTAAACGCGATATCATCCCAACGCCAGCGCTACCGCTACTTTTGATCCCAGCTGAAGATGAGAATATTTTACAGTTTGTAAACAACTGAAGATCGCGCCGCGCGTCGGCGCTATCGGTCGTTGAAAGCGCACCAGAAATAGCAACTGAAAACGCTCTAGAAACAGAGTCTTTGAGCTATTCTTTCGTCGAAACCATAAAAAGCGTCGTCCATTTCTTCAGATGAAACAAACATTCGGAGAGAGTTTCGCCCTCTGCGCACGGCAACCAGTCTTACGATTTCCGCGTTGCGGGTACAATTGTCAGCCAGAATGTTAAAGCGAATGCATCTAGAGCAAGCCTTGTATACTGATCACTACGCAGGTTAAATCATTTCGTCCCGAGCCAAAAGCTATTTCATTCGAAACAAAGAGTAAAGATAAGATCGCCTAGTGCTCGAATAAACAAGATCTTCCTTACATTAGATACAGTCTGGGTAATCACGCGTGTTAACGTCGCTGGTCAAGATATCCCGGCAATCCAAACAGTATAGTCATTCGGCGATATGTCCGCTAACAGCAGGTCAACCCAGAGCTGCTGCGCTTGAGAGTCCAAATATGTCCGCTAGAGTCCTGCAATATTTCGCTATTAACACTTACATTTGATAAAAATAATCAGTTTATATCCATACAAAATTATAAAACTAGAACACAAGAACAGATGATCTCCAAGAACTGGTATATTGACGCTAATATCTGAGTCTGCAAAAACAACGGTCTTCCTGGCTCCAGATGATAGATCCAACTGTCTAAAGCTTGCTATTTATTGCACCGTTCTAAAGAATTCTATTGCTTATTGAAAATGTGAAACTTGAACATTTAGATGAATTTGAGAATCAGAATTGGAATTTTGATGAAAAGAAAAGTTAAACCAAGTTTTGAAAATCTGAAATGGAAGACATAGTAATTTTCTTTCAAGAAAATGTGATGGTGAAATTGTGGGCTTATCAGTAAATTTCTCGAGCACGGAAAAGAGGTCGGGGTTCCGTTGATTCCGTCTTTCCAGAGTTTATCCGGGATACGATGTGGGTTGCCCGGATTGGCCCAATAATGGAAGGGACATTAACATTGTTTTTGCAGTGTTTGGCATTGTTATTGGCACTGGCACGACTTCAACGATTTCAATCGACCTGTTGCCTCAATTGTTTTCGAAAAGTTGGGACAAATTGGACAAGTTTGTGCCTTTCTTTTAACCTCAAAATTTTTTTTAAGAATCAGGCTTTCTTTGGCTCCAGAACCTAATCGATAATGGAAACACTTTCACTCAATTTTTGATACTTTTGCAATTCATTCCCCCTGTACTTATCACCAACGCACCCATCAGCTTCATTCACTCCATTTTTCACTTTCCAAATCGATTTTCACAAGAGTCTTTCTGCGGTATCTTATTCAATTTTTTTGAAGAAAATGAGCTTGAAACCGAAGATTTTTTCACTCATTAAACTATTCTCTTTGCGAATCTCCGTGTGAGTTTTATCAATTAGAAAAAGCAAATGGGTTTTCCAAAAGATTCAAAATCTTCTTGTCGAATTTTGCTGAGAATGATTAGTTGTAGTCTGAAATCAGTCGTACTAATTATCACTTTCTCTTGCACTTAGAGTTTTTGCAATGATTTCGGTGTTTGGTATGATGGATGATATCAAAAATAAAGAAAAAGCTTCAAATTATTTCAAATTTTTTTCAGCGAAATTATCAATCAGGATTGTTCTAGAAGTATGCCCGATAAAACTTATTCGGTGATTTGCAAAGCGAACAATTCAATGATTGAAAAATTTTCATTTCCAAGCTCATCTTTCAACAATTTATCAATAAGTGCTTAGAAAGGTTTTTTTTTTGCGAAAATCAATTCGGAAGAAAGCTGTTAATGTCTGGGATAAGGCGGTGAAAGAATTGCTAAAGAAAATGTGAAACTTGAGTATTTAGAAAATTTAGATGAATTTAAGAATCAGAATGAAAGTTTTGATGAAAAGAAAAGTTAAATCAAGTTTATCTCAAAATCTTAAATGGAAGAAATAGACATTTTCTTTCAAGAAAATCTGATCGTGGAATTGTGGGCTTATCAGTCAATTTGTTGACCCATCAAAAAAGCTCTTGTTGTAAAATTTCTGACCCTGTTTTGATTTTGTTCACATTTTTCACCACTAAAGTAGTCGATTTTTACCTGACTTTATCTGATTTTTTTTTCGTTTTCAAAGTATTCAATTGCACTTTTTGGGGACAGAATTTCTTTGTGAAGTTCTCGAAATGGAGAAGCAAATTTCGGCTTTGTCAATGGAAATCGATCAATGCAAACTTGTTAAGGAAGCGTTCGTCGTTTGAACTTCAACTGTGTTGGATGCAGGTAATGTTTAGTCTTTTACTTTACCTAAAATGTATACGTAAAGTTTCAAAACCATCAAAAAGTAGAGTCCATCAACATTATCAAAATTTCAGGGGTTTGTACAGCGAAATAGGATTGTTCTATGGCAAATATAATGTACCAGTGCCAACAGCACGAATGCCAACTGCACCACCAACGGCATCAGCAGTCAATGTGCCATCTAAAGCGCCAGTGCTAATAACAATGACAAGCCTGCAAAAACAATGTTGATGCCCTTTCCATTATTGGGGCAACCTGGGCAACCCACATCGTTTCCCGGAGAAGCTGCGGAAAGACGCAATCAATCGAAACCCCCTGCCTCAAGCCCGTACTCGTAATCATTCTTTTAGCTGTACAGGGTTGCCCAGGATTACGGAGACTAGGGGTATCTTTGGCATTGCATATTTTTTGCTTACAACCTTTATATTGTTTTTGCCTTTCTTTTCGTTTATTTTATTTATTTAACTGTTTACTTACTATTTTTTCTCAAAAAATGTCTCTTTTTAGAACGGCCAAGCAGTCAGTGCACCGAGATGCGATCATCGAACTACACAAGCGTGCCGTTTCGACTTTCAAATCGCTCAATTGTGCACTCTGTTCGATGCCGTGTAAGTTTTACTTTGAATTCACAAAAGCGCATTATTTTATTCGCTAACTTATTGTAACAAAAATGTACAGAATTGTATTTCAGACTCAAAAACGGCAAATGAAGTAAATACACCGACACAAAAGGATATGCAAGTAAACTAATTGAAAATTGTAAAGTTTTCTAAATTTCAGTTTGGGAAAAAGATGTCTCTTGTATCAATGATGCTCACGACAAAAATTTGAACGATTTGAGGGTTTGAGAAGTTATTAAATTTGAAGAAATCAGTTCAGAAATGCTCAACGGATTTGTTCAATGATATGCTTATTGGAGGAGATGTTTGTCCGTGAGTTGATTTCTAAAAGATCAAAAGTTTTCGGAAATTCAGTACTTTTAACACTTACATTGGTTGTCGAGCTCCTTACTATCAAAAGGGATGCAATGATTTCAATGCTGGAGTTTTCTTTTGCAATACGGATCGAGTGGCTGTGGTGAGTAGAGATTGGGTTCTTTTCGCTTACAATTTTTTCTAAAAGATGCTTAACAAAAACCTAACATAATCCTGTATCTTTGAATGCTTACCGCTATAAAACTGCTTTTTTTATTCTCATTTTGTTTAGTTTTTCTAAAGATATCGTAATCCTGGTCTTTTGTAAGATTACCTCAAGGTAGAACTCTTGAGCTGATATTAGGTAATCCACTAAGGCACCAGTTTTAGACCATCTTTTAGGACACTTCTGATCAAGAAGTAAATCTGATGGTTCAAGCCCTCAAATTTCAGAATGCCTACAACGGAACTTGTGACACAAAGGGACTTCTCAAACAATGTCCACCTTATCGATGAATCTTTTCACGAAGCTGTGGAATAAAATTATGCATCACTCATTGTTTGGATAATCGTTTTTCTTTAACAATTAAAAACATTACAAAAAGCTTCGACTTTTGATTTTTATTACTTTAATTTCTGTGTCTTGTTGCTTCTCCTTAGTAATTGCATTGGTTGAGAGCGAATTTCTAAAATTCTACTAATTCAGATCCATTTAGACAATACTTGAAATAGATTCGCTTCTCAAAAATCACACGAAGCAGTTGAGGTTTTCATCACATTGGAGAGCTCCTTGAAAAAAACATTCTTGGCCGCCACAATATGTAAAAAAAGATTCTTGGCCGCCATACAGCCGCTATTGCATAGTAGAAAAGTTTTTGATTGGTGATGTCCAAATCGAGATAAAGTTTCTTCTATTAGGTTGTCCCATAAAAAATTGCGGGTTTTTTTCATTTGATTCGTATTCAGCGACAAATTAACACTTTCTCTTTCTGTTTTTTTTATTATACTGCTTTACAATTCTAATTTTATGTGCTAAATTTTTTTTTTTAGAAACCAAAAACAGAAAAAGTTGTGATCGATCAAATGGCGCCGTCTCGTGAAGAAATCCATCAACATCTGTATCAACGATATTTGAGGAGGATTTCGGCGGCCAAAGCAGCGAGAGAAATCAATTCTTTTTATGGATCAACAATCGTCAAGGAAAGGACTACACAATGGTGGTTTCAGAAATTCCGAAAAGGTGACACCCGGCTCACACGAAAGCGAGGAAATGGTCATCCCAGAAAAGTGAATCGACAGACGTTGAGGCGCCGACTTCGGCAAAATCTCGAAGGATCGACTCGGATTTTGGCACAAGACTATTGCGGAGGAATGACAGTATGGCGTTGGCTCAAAAAAACCGGAAGAAAGTGGTTGAAACAGCGGCAAATCCCTTATCAACTGAACAATTCGATTAAGGACCAAAGAGCGCGGTCATGCCGTCAACTACTGAACGAATATCGATGCGGTCGGCTTCCTCTTTCCAATATAGTGACTCATGATCAAACGTGGATATTGATATGATAGTCGTGGATTATGATAGTCGAGTGTTGAAACGACGATGGTTGGGAAAAGGTCGTTTGGGAAAAGTGGTGCCAAGACGAAATATTCATGGAAATAAGCGACTTCTGTGTGTCTATTGGTGTTCCTCTGGCATACTTTTTTGGGAGCTACTCCAGAAGGGTCAAACTTTTAAAAGTAATGTTTATAGACGCCATATGGAACAAGTTGAGCAGAAAATTCTCCGATTGCTCTATCAGAATGAATGGAATGGCCCCGTTTTTGTGCTTGAAGACAACGCTTCTTCTCACAAATCGAGCAAATCGAAGAATTTTATGGAAAACAATTTGCACTGGAATGTACTTTCACATCCCCCTTATAGCCCGGATATAGCTCCTTCTGATTACTACTTATTTTTGTCGCTAAAGCATTTCCTTCGAGGCAAGCAATTCAACAACCAAGGTGACCTCGAGAACGAATTGGAGGACTACTTTCATTCACGCCAACCAGATTTTTACAAGCGAGGACTTGAAAAGTTACCAAAACGTTGGTTAAATGTCTACAATAATCATGGAAAATATATCGTATGATCTACGTTGTTACTTTTTATTTTTTGTTGAAAAAAGAAATTTCTGAAAAACCGCAATTTTTTATGGGACAACCTAATAAAATACAACAGAAGATTGCCTTAAGAGGCCTCACAATTTACTCGCAACGCTTGTAATAATGATAGAGCCAAAAGATAAATGTAAATTTAGAAATTTAAAATATCAATTTTCACCCTCATCCCTCATCAATTTCCCCAGAAAAACCACAGCAATTCATCACCCGGCTTCGGAGTCTCTCAAAATTGAGCAGGATTTCACAGTTTAAAAGAACCATTGCTACTTGCACGTACAGATTACCAGGTCTGGAAACAGACTAACAGGGTTTTTATGGATAATTTGCTTGCCGGGCAAAATAGTTGTAACCAGATCTAACTAACTATAAGGCTTATAAAGCAGGCCGAGCCCAGTCAGAAGCCAATTTCAAGTCTGGCTCCAGATCCAGATACTTTTGTCGGTCGATTTTGTTGCAATATCAAGCAAGTTCAAAAGAGAAAGAGAAAATGGAGAAGCTGAAACGAGGAAATGATTTCCTTATATTCTATCATTTGTTAGCCGAAATATTCAGGTGTCAACTGAATATCTTTCTGACTTCACAGTGCTATAAATCACTTGAATCAACGTCATTTCTTATTCATTTTTTATTTCTTTCGAATGACTGGTCTACCCACTTCACCGCCTTCTAATATCAATGCTGCAAAACGTTTTCAACTTAGCCAGGGTAAGGATTTTTGAACTTTAAACGGTACTATCTCGATCTGAAGCAGCTTTGTGCTACTTTTAGCAAGTGTTGTTTCCGAGCGAATTGAATGGTGATAGCTTTAGAACGTTTAAAGCACCTTGGAGTGGTGTTTTGCAGCATTACAAACCTCAATGTTACAAAATTCGTTGACTTAGCCATCAAAAACTGCAAAAGAAAGGAATCGGGTTGAGTTCGCCATACTGAATAAAAGTGGTGGTAGAAAAGGTGGTTTAGCCTGTAAAAGGTGACTGGAGGAATGTCAAAGACTATTTTTGTACAATATTGATTTACAGAGCACTGTTTTGACTGTACCGTAACGTTTCTCGTCCTTATCAACCTATTTTCTTCTAGTCACCGATTCGCAACTCTCGACAAGCCCTGCGTGCCGGATCTGTGCGCAAAATGAGGACGTCAACACGAAGCTGATTCGGCTGTGCAACTGCAAGGGATCGATCGCCTACGTTCACAACCGATGTCTGCTTCAATGAATCACGACAACAAACAAAAAGGTGGAGCTATCATTTCATTAGGGGGTTGTAAATTGTATTTGAGGCAAACCATTATGTAAACAGAAATATGATCCACTTTTGAATGGAACAACCTATGCTCTATGAGCTACGAAACGAATTGAACTTAGGACAGGTGCTACAAAGCGCGGTGCAGTTGTGCCATTATATTTGCACGGACTAAGTAGCTTTGCATTTTCGCCCTCAAAGTTTATGTTTGCCATGTAGGGCTTGTTGAGAGTTGCAAACCGATAACTCGGAGAAAATTGTCAACGCTTTAGATGATTCGTGGGAGGACGAGGTTAAGGAGAGTACTCAATTGCTTGTAAACTTATTTTTTAGCTTGACTTTCGTTGTTCAACTGCCTGGTTGATCTTCATGTCAACGCTCTTTTTTTTGGTCGTCAGGTCAGTCATATCATTGAATATTATACGTATTTTATTCTTAGAAATGGTCTATTCGATCTTCGAAATCTCGTCGGCTGTGTTATTGGAAACAGCACAATCTGGTATAAATTGTGGTAAGGGGTTCAATTTTCGTCCAAGTCTAGGTTCTTTTAAGGTGGCTAACGTTTTTTCTCAATGGGCTCTACTATGGATCAACTGTGCCTTTGGTGTACGATCAATGGATTTTCGAAAATTCCCGCTTCAAATTTAAAAATCGCGATGAGGCTGATGTGTAAGTGCTTATTGGACAGTCATAGGAAGTTAAACAAGGATATTTAACTTTTGAATATCCCCGTATCTATCTAATGTACTTTTTTAGTTTAACTGCCCAAACCACGTCAACGCATTCAATCAACGATGAGAAAAGACTCCACAACCGATTGGAATAAACGATACTTGGAATGATTTAGTTAATGTGAGGTAATAAATTGCACTTGATCATAATGGAGTTATGGTCACATATGGTGGAATGAGCACGCAACCACTTTTTTCTAGAAATTTTTCTCCATTTTTATTTTTTTTAAAGTCTAGATTCCAACTGGACCATTAATCTTCAAGGATAACAAACTTCACAGTTTTTGGATGAGTAGATGGTACGAAAATAAGGACCATGTAAAGGTAAGCATACGGTTTCTTTACTTGAAACTTGAAGAAGTGGGTGTCTGGTACTTGCGGGGCCACTAAAGGCAATTGTTGAATCGTGTATTTGGAAGCAAAACTAGTGTTGGTTTTCCTCAATATGAATCTCGCCAACAATAATTTGTGTCAAACTGACTCCAAATATGTAAATTACTTGTCTGATTTCAGGATGAGTGGGCTTCCGAGAAAGCTGAAACAGCCTATGCTTGCAACGGGCTCACTGAGGCCCGAAGATGTCGCGATGAGACCCCGTTCATCGATCAATGCAATTGGGCCAGGAAAACGAGAAACGAGGAACCATCTCCTTCTGCAGGTTGTTCAAGTTATTCATTTAAAATTTACAAGGTTTCCTTCAGAGCAACCCGTTCAACGCCCGTTAATTGAACTCGAAGATCTACAAGCTTTTGCTGCAAAGGGGAAATGTAACGAGGTACGTTTCTTGTTTCTAAACGAATAACACACTATTTTTTTAGATTGACGAAGCGAACTTTAATGAAGCGATTAATAAGGCAATTGATGAAGCAAAGTATAACAAGGTTTGATTGATTCCATGATGTTTAAACTCAACTTTAGGCTTGCCGCTTGATTGTGGCCTACTTGCTGAAGGTGATCAAAAAGTCACAAACAACATCGAAAGGAGCATTCGATGCGGAACAAATGGCGCAGATTGGCAAAATTATTACAGGAAACGGTGAAAAGCTAACGGTATGTGATATCTTTTTTATTATTTTAATGAAATTTAGAATGTCTTCATGTACAAAGTGCTCTTTTGGGGTCTATCGATGATGAAAAATTCCCCGAGTGTGAAGCAAGGATTATTTGTTGCGATGATTACACGATTGGCAATGGTAAGTGAAAGATCGAGTAGTTTTTTTTTTGCAGGATTTGCTTAACATTCTCAATTTGATTCTAAAAATTTCGGCTAAACTTTGTCGTTTAAAAATCGCTAGTGCTACTGAATTCAAATAAACCAGTGTTTTTAATGTTTAATATTTGGAGTCAACCCCAATTACATCCATTTCTCCTGCAAGCATTTCTTGCCGATTGTTTGGGAGAACGCATTTGGATTGACAAGGTTTGTTGTACTTTTTCTTGAGAGTCTTAATATAACATGTTTTAGCCGCACAGTGAACAACTCGTCTCGTTGATTTTGAAACGATTCAACACGAAGTTTCCATCGCTTGATTCAGTGCTGTACAAAATGACCGCCGGGGAAATTTCACCGCCTGCATGGATTCCTAATTCAGTAAGTGCACAAAAATTTGCTTTTATAGTGAAATTTTTAGGATGTCGTTGACAAATTTCCGCCAAATACAGAAGGAATGACGGAAGAGGAACGAGAAAAGGAACAGAAGAGACGACGAAAGGAGAAGGAGACTGGAAAACGTACTTTTTAGAGTTTTATTAGGAAAGATAATTGTAATAGCACAGCAAAAAGAGCTAACTTGCCAAAAATAGACCCATGCCGTATTTATTCATACTCAATTTTTTCAATAGATCCATTCACGGATCTACTGATCTGATACAAGCAACCAAACTAGTGTCAGAATAATGATACCGAATTTTCCAGAATGCAACTTGAGTATAAAGCGCTAGTGCAAGTAGTTGAATGTTGAAAAATAAAACAATTCTTGCATTTGCGTTAGTAATCAATTTAAATATTTAGAACCGAATGAGGACAAAGAAGATGAAACACTGCCACCACTATTTACAAGTTGACTCCAAGAAATTATTCGTAAAAAAATGAGTGCAGCTTTCCCTTAAAATTTTAGAGATTTTTGAAAAATGATTATTTTCCAGCTTAAATTCAGCTCACTTTTTCCATCAGAAAAACGATCGCTTATGAGGCAAAGCTAGCATAAATGAGCAATATGCTCTATAATCTCTATTTTTGTGCAAAAATTTACCGATAAAACTTAGATGATGATTTGCAAAGCGAACAATTCAATGATTGGAAAAAATTTTCGGAGCTCAATTCGGAAGCAAGCTGTTAATGTCTGAGATAAGGCGGTGAAAGATTGCTAAAGGAAATGTGAAACTTGAGTATTTAGAAAATTTAGATGAATTTAAGAAACAGAATGGAAGTTTTGATGAAAAGAAAAGTTAAATCAAGTTTATCTGAAAATCCTAAATGGAAGAAATAGACATTTTCTTTCAGAAATACAAAAATATCTGGTCGTGGAATTATTAGTAAATTGTCAATGAAATG